AAAATCAATCCCAACGTTTATTAAGTACAGTATTTAATATCCATTCAAATGGCACTACAGATGATTATAAGTATTACACAAAATGTTGAACATTGGGCGCCGTTTAGCATCCAATCAATGATTATTTCTATATTTTTGCAATAAATCAAATCAAACTATGATATAAGTTTTATTTAACTTAATTTTAATGTAACCTTGTTAATAAAGTGTTTATTCTTGATTATAAAATCAATTAATTGATCTTTTCTTTCGAGCCGACATGTAATCCAAAACTGGAGAATCCTGTCGAAGCATCTGATTATATGACAGGGGTTGGGATGTGACAAATTAGTGACATGTAAACTTGGCTCAGGGCTAAATCGGTACCTCATTATTGTATTGGTTGTGTAAAAGCTCCCACTGTTTGGCTTCTTTGAGTATTCTTCGACTTAATCGCATCAATGGGTCCACAAGATCTCTGTTCTCAACATTTTCGTAGACATTATTTGACCGCTTTTTGCCACAACCTGTGAATGCATTACAAAAGGGTCTCTTCTCTACTGAATATCCATTGCTTTGATTGTCTACTTGTGCCTCAGTTTCCTATAATTCAATTCATTTTAGTCCTATATGTGCGACAAATTCATACAAAATGTTGTCTAAAATTACTCTTTTGACTATGATTTTAGAGGAGACGCCAATTAATATAGCACTCAATGCCACCAAAACGCCAATAACTAAACCATTCATATTCATATTGATTCCTAAAATAAATTATATTATCGGTTAATAGTTTTTCCATAAATAGACAAAATGTACAGAATTTATGTTTAAATAAGCTAGTATGTAAAAATAATACATGAAATAAAATTGTCTTATTATTTAATTTATTTAATTAGTGAATTACAGTACTTTCACTTATTATATGAGTGACAGGACTGTCCCCCGAGACTGGTGGCCATAAAATTGTTAATGTATTTTGTGACGACAATAGTGTAGATGAAAATAGTTGTGATATAATATATAGTTTTGTATGAATTTCAAAGAAAGCTTTTATTATATAATACTTGTAATTGTATTTTGTTGCTGTTTCTTAAACACTTAATCAAAAGCTTTTTTCTAACGTTATGTTCATAAATAAGAAATTTATTACAAGAATTTAACTATTTTCTCATTAGTACTTAAATAACAATTTTAATTAATTCTACAATAAAATTTACTAATTTTTATGCAGTATGTCTTAATTATGGTCATAAAGTTAACGATACAATGTTTGCTTAAACTTAAAAGATAAGTAAAAATTTACATTGTTTTGCATAATGTTTAGTTAATAGATTAGCTGTTCAATTATATGAACATTAGGGATTATGCTAACTTCAAATATAAATATTTTTTGATAGCATATTTACTTTTTGTTTTAAACAAGTTTTTGTTTTTTGCGTACAACTTAATTACAATAGCTTTAATCCACAAAATAAGTGTTTAAATTATATGGGATAACATAATATAATTTTAAATAAATCTTCCACTTTAAAAGTGAAGTTAATTTCCTTATAGAGATTTATGACTAAAATCTTGATTAACGTCTAATGTCTTCATTTACTTTTATAATTGTCTTAAAATTGAAATAATTTTTATTTACAAGAAATTGAATAAACTTAATTTAGGAATTATTATTTTATATTAATAGTTTTAATCTTCTACTAGCCTATAAATTTTATTTTTAAATAATTTTTTAAAAAAGTATTAATCATTTAGAGTGTTTTTAGAATCAGTGCTGATATTATGACAGCTATTTTTAAATGAATAAAGCAATTTTTTATTTCAATTCATCAATTCTACAAACATTTAACCAGTTGATTACTTGTAAGTCAAACATATAACATCTCAAGTAATCCAAACGGTTTAGTATTTGTATCCTAATTAATCCGCACGAAAAAGTGCGAATATATAGATAAAACTTTTAATGAACTCAGGGTTGTTTGTTTTTTGCATTTAATTTATTTTAGTGTTAATTCTCTATAGAATTCACAATTGAGAAATTCAACAGATTTATCATTTCACACAAAATTTTTTATTTAATGTATCATTAATTTTTTGATGAATTATATCATAGAATATATAATTTAAAAATATTTTATAATATCTCAAAATTCGTTTAGTGGTATCTATAATTATAGCTTACACTTATTATAAGTATAGGATTTATCAAATAAAAATTAGTTATGATAATCATTGTTAGATATCACGAAAAATTATGATTTTAAAGTAAAATTTGTATTATAATTCTTTTATATTATATTGTAGAATTCTTTATATGCAATATTTATAAATCAAATAATAAAGAATATTATAATCCCAATTTAAAAATGTTTTAATATTAGTTTAATATCAATCATCAAATATTAATTTTGTAATTTTTATAAAATTTGGTAAAGTTGCTTCAAATATTTTAATAGTGTATCATTTATTGTGTAAAATATTAAATTAATCAGAAACAAAAGATAGTCTAAATCTAATTTTTAAAATTTAATAGTAATTGAATTCTATACAGAATTATAATAAAATTAATAATTTAATAAAATACTGCAATTTTAACATCTCGAAGAATTTGTTTAAAAGAATTTTGCTTTATGTAATAAGTTCATGAATACTAATACTATAAGTTTATTCACATCTTAAAAATAATTAACAAATATTTCACACCAAATAAAATAACCTTAAGTTATACAGTATAGTATACGCATAACTAAAACCTATTTTACCACATCATGAAAGTAGCTTTTAAAATAGTAAATTAAATGCTTATTGTATTCGCATTAACCAAACAAAACGTTTTTAATTATCATAAAATAAAAATTCATAAAACCTTTTCTTTTTAAATAAATAAATATGCTTACCTTAAAATATAGAGATTTAATAATTATAAATTATTAAAACTAACAGTTTTAAATTAATTATTATTGGTGGGTAAATAGGAATAAATTTAAAATAAATTACTCTTTATATAGGAATATATAGCTGTGAAACAGAATCTAAACTTATGAACAGAATATAAGTGATATTTGCGAGAAGACTAAAGATCTGGAAATTACTGTCTTATATAAAGTGTGACCTAACTGTGCGCACTCACTCACTGAGTGTCAAAATCTCGAGTATCGGCCCTTTTCACGAGTGTTAAGACCGAAAGTTTAGGTAAACTAGAGTTAGGCCGAACCCACGCAACATTTACCGCTAGATATTCAGGGAGTGGTTTAACCATTTGATAACTCAATCGGATAGAGATTTGAGTTTATTTGAGAAACAAATATAAGCAAATTGTGTAGAAATAGCAGAATATTATGATATCTCAATTATTTTGATGCTATAATTGCTGAGGAATTAAAGAATTTGAATAATAATTTCTGATTAAACAAAATTATGACAATTATTCAATGTTTACTCATTATAATCCCGTTCCCCAAATCCCATCGAAAATATACTTTTTAATTAGTTTTGCACAGCTTTTCGTTTGGAAATATGTTTGCATTAAACAAACACTTCATTGAAAATTTGAATATCTATAGTATTAGTGCGTCAGACATTCAATTCATTTACAGATTTATACGATATATAAATAATTTATGTTTTCATATTTGCACCAATATTTTTGCTCTGCTTTCCATACTTTTGTTTAATTTATCGTAAATTATTAAACTATTTCTTATATTAAGACCTTTTCCGCACACTATTTGTTACATGTTATGATTTTATGGGTAAACAAATTTAGATTACAATTTGAAATACGACTGAGTTATTATTATTATTATTATTAATATATAACACTTTTTTGTGACACTTTTATATTAAAATTGTTATAAAACCAAATGTGAACTCTTTTGGAGCACAAAGAAAATGCTTTTCTGTGTTTGTCTGACAGCACGACATCACTTGAATCGCCCATTGATTTACACAATTAGTGCCTTTCGTTTCCGCATTTTTTCTTTGGATGAGTTTAAATACAATTGTATTTCACTTTTAACAC